TGATTATATAAAAGAAATGCATAGCTAGCAGGAAGTATAACTCTCTACCTGCTTAGATTTTCTGCACTTCATTAATTTTCCATTTACATGTTCATATCATAACTTACTAGGTTTTAAATGACATTTTAACAGAATTTGTAATAAGATAATTAAAGTGAAGTTTGCAATAATAAGCATCCAGAATAAGGTAACAGCTGCCCTGGGAGAAACCAATATACCTAGAAACCCATTTGGGTGGGAAATTTTTAGTACAGTAAATGCAGACAGATACTTACCTCTACAATATTCCATTAATATAAGTACTTCCCATACATTATCACTAATTGAATTAACAGCACAGTCCAAATAACCCACAATATTTTTGTGTCCAGATAGTTCTTTCTGTGAAAAAACAAACAAATTTTTTAAAACTGGAAAATACACATTTTAAACCTGTACTATCATTAGCATGGTTGGAAGCCTAAATTATTGTATTTAATTAATTTCTGCTAGGTAGGTTCTCTACCACTTGAGCCATACCTCCAGCCCAATAAAGCATGAGGACTGGAAGAATGGCTCAAGATTCTGAGTTCAAACACCAGTATGAAAAAAGAAAAAAGATATGAGAGTATGTAATTTGATGTATTTCAACCAAAGGCTTCAAAGGTTTCGATGTAAAGTTCAGCCATTTTCTAACACACAAATAATTGATGACTATTTTTTTTTAATTCAACTGGGAAAATGATCCACTCAAAAGTAATGAAATCTACCAATAGTAGTATATAAGATAGTTCTTTGGGACTCAAGAATAAAATATTAGAACCCTTATTTATTTTTATCTTAAAAAGTAATTAAGCTCTAATATAAATGAACTACTCTCATTTGGTTTGCCTATAACATATGGCAATTGAGAAATAAAAAAAAATTTTGTACTGAGAAATGAAAAAAATTACACAAATTCTATTAAAAGGAAGAATTATGACACAACAGTACAATATCTGTGCTCCAGTTAAAGAACTTAGCCTAAGCTTCACCATTATCATAGGTAATTCTTTTTCACCATTTTGACTAATAGCTTTACCTTTAAAAAGTCTCAAAACCTAATCATCTCTAATCTAGCTAAGGTAGATACAATAAAAGCCAAATTCAGGGTCTGGGTCTGAGGGATGTAGCTAGCTCAATGGTAGGGTGCTTGCCTAGCAAATGCAAGGCTCTAGGTTCGATCCCGAGAACTGAGGGGAAAAAAAAAAAAAAGCAAAATTCAGAAAAGTCACTTATCATCAAAAAAAAATGTACTGGTAAAGATGTTGACATAAAGAAATTCTCCCTCTCTAACTACTAAGAAACTAGTAGTTAGATAAATAAGACTGACATTAATATAAAGTGTTGGCAAGGGTGGGGAGGGGGCACAGGGCACGCAGGTGTCGCTCACTGGTAGGGCACCTGCCTATAAGTGCGAGGCCCTGGGTTCAATTCCCAGCACTGAAAATAAAAAAATAAAATAAAACATTGCTGACAAGAACATAAAATGGTCTGGTTGCCATGGAAAACAGCTTGGCAATTCCTTAAAAATTTAAACACAGAATTATCCAGTAATTATAGACCTATGCATACACCCAAAGAACAGAAACTAAGTACCCAAACAAATACATGGACACACATATTCTTAACAATAATATTCACAATATCCAAAAAGTAGAAACAGCCCAAACATCCATCAGTTTTAAAAACTCCATAAAAACAGATAAATTGTGATATATAAATACATTGGAATATTATTCATCCATAAAAAGAAATGGAGTACTTATACACTACAATGTAAACAAACCTTTAAAAAATTAGGCTAAGTGGAAAGGAAAATGCAAAATGTCACATATTGTACAACTCCATTTGTGGGGAATATCCAACAGATAAATCCATAGAGACAGATATAGAAGGGCTTGCTAGGAGCTAAGGAAGGGGGAGTGAGAAGCAACTGCACAACACATACGAGTTTCATTTGGGAGTGATGAGAAGGTTTTGAAACTAGATAAAAGCGGTGTTTGTGCAATACTATGAATGTAGTTTAAGTGTCACTGAATTGTTCACTTTAAAATAGTTGGTTTTATATTACGTGAATTTCACTTAATAAGACAAAAGCTTGAGGTGTGTGTGTGTGTGTGTGTGTGTGTATGTGTGCGTGTGTGTGTGTGTGTGTGATTAAACAATGGAGGATAATAGGAAAAAGAAGAAGAGCAGAGGTCAAAGTAAGTACAAGATGCCTCCAGAGCACTGACGCAGTACTAAAAAGGAAAAAATTTTTATTTTATAATATTTTTAACTGTTGACTTAACTCAGAGTCACTGAAGTTTTTAATGACTTACTAAAATAATTTTTTTATGTTTTGATTTTTCTTGGCAGTACTAAGGGTTAAACCCAAGGCTTCACACTCTCTAAGGCAGGCTGTTCTACTACTTGAGCAACTCTTACCACCTGAGCCAGGATGCCAGCCCTTTTTGCTTTGGTTACTTTTAAGATAGGGTCTTGCTTTATGCCCAGGGGGACTTGAACCATGGTCCTCCCATCTGTGCTTCCCTATGTAGCTGGGGTGACAGGCACACACTGCCATGGCCAGATGCCATGGTTGAAATGGAATCCTCCCAATCTCTGCCTTTTGAGTAGCTAGGATTACATGCTTGAGCTACCACACTCGGGCTTTACCTAATATTTAAAAAGAATTTTCCCTTACTAAAGGATACCATGTTATAAATTACAGACTTCAGAAGAAAAACAATCAACTGCACAGCATGATTTTTAAAATGGAAAAAAAACTAATTATTGTTTGTAAATACAAAAACATAAACTGAGTGCATAAAACATGCACAGGAGTGGTAAAACACTATGCAAGACAGCAGTCTTTTTTTTGGTAGAAAAGAACAGTACAGGGACACAGTTTGGAGAAGAAAGCTTATAAGGTTTTACTTCTTAAAGTGGATGGTGTGCAAACATAGTGTTTATTATGTAATTCTCTAAATTTTTCTATTTTCAAAATATTTTGTAATTTAAATGAATTTTAAAAAAGAAAAAGTAGCTTGTCCTGTTAACTTACAGTAGGGGAAACTACTGCTATATTTTCGCCTTAAGTAAGGCCATAAGAATGAACTTACTAATTCCTGGATAATACTACGATTTAATGATCTTCAAAAGTTTTCTAAATGTGTATAAATTGATAAGCAGCATGCCTAAAAACTTGTGAATGTTACATAATAAAACCAAAAGAAAACACACCATCTTTCTAAAACAAAATTACACTTCCACTTACCATAATTGTAATTTCCCTTTTACAAATGTTGAGGTCTGGCATGTTATTGACATACATTCGTTTCCAATGCACATCGTGATTCCACCCTGTGTTGTTTTGGGGGTTGTATGAGTCCGCACCAAAAAACTGTGGAGATCCACCTAGAAGAAAGACAATTAACTTAGAAAGAACCAGAAAATTAACTTCAAAATCAATCATGTAATATCATTTTGAAACTTAGCATCAGAGGAAAATAAACATGGAATGTCCCCAAGACAAAAATAAGTACAGTAAGCAGCTAATCAATTAAAAGCTAAACAGCAGATTCTTATGTTTAGCTGAAGTAGTACTTACGAAACCACACACTTCTTAAATAAACATGCTTCTCTTTCAAAAGCCAATATACTGCATTTTCACTTTTTGCACTGGAATACTTGTTATGCATTACCCACAAAATGTCACAATACAACCATATAATTATAGTTTGACTATACTAGTAATTGCCTACCCACCAGACTCCCCATCTTGTGATGACAAAACGCTGATGCTGACGTTACTTAATAGGAGAAAATGAGATCAAACAGTCTTGGCCCCTCCTCCAGTTCCAGGGTATAAGTCAACATTGTTCTAAGTCAGTCATGGGAATCTCACTTCCCCTTATCAGTAACTGATTTAGGATTGGGTATAGAACCAGTTTTAACTAATGGGACATAAAGTAATGTATGCTAGGATTGCAGGGAAAAATTTCCCACCTAGATAAAAGAAAGTGACAGTGGAGAAGGCCTTGGTGTTCCTCCTTTTGAATTATGTTGTATAATAATAATAAAAAATAATATACAGCCAATCTGCCCATGAGAGTTAGAAAGAAAATGACACAAAACATCAGGAGTCAGGCTACCAAATTAGCCAACCCCAGCCAGAACTCATGTGAGATAATAAATGTCATTATCTAAGCCACAGTTATTTGTCCACTATGTTAACTGCATCTGAGGAAGTATCATATCTGAAGTACATAGCTAAATAGGTATTTTAAGGGACAATTATTTCTGTCACACCTAAACAAAGATTTCCACCCAAAATTTTTAAAACTCATCTAGGCAATTTAACATTCTACCGAGAGAGAGCGCGTATATCTGATAAGTCCTTACAATGCAGCACCCTGAGTATTAAGTCACCTTTACTGCAGTTCAATCCAAAACAAAGGAAAAGTAAACTATTAGGGATAAACAATAGTGAAAAAGAGCTCCTAGAATTCCCCAGAATTAGCATATAATCATTTCAGATTCTCCATATCTTACAAGTGCAGTAACAAGAAACTGTGTAATTCCT